TTGCTAGGGAATTAGCGGAGGAAGCGTCACAGTTACTAGGGTAAACAGGGAGTACAGATGTACAGTAGCTAAAACAACTATCTGTGCAGGTGGGGATAGATATGCTCCGAAATTTTACGTGTGACTAGTGACAGTCCACATACCGGGGTATTAGGGTGTGTCATAGGAGGGAAGATCAGCTAAAACTAATGGCCCATCACTTTTTTGGTAGATTTTAGTGTATATAAACAGAAAATAATTTCTGTTTCAATATTTTGCAACCTTTTGCTAGGTAAGTTTTAGCGTGAAATTTATCGAAAATCTAACGTACAGCTGCATTAGTGCATTACAATTAAATAGTGAACATTGCTTTCTGACTTCATTCTTTAACAACCCAACTAACAATATTTTTTTCTGTTTCAGATTCTGATGCATTTATAAGTTGATAATATTTGCGATGGCTGCTTGTGTCAGGACGAGGAACCAAAAATCCAGCCATCTCAGTCACTATCTTGGGTCTGGGAGAGAGCTCCTGAAGTCGGAGTTGCCTACATTGAGAGATGCTTTGAGATACGGTGTTTTAATCAGGCAAATCAGTGAAAGAACCAAAGAACTTACACAAACAAAGACATTGCCAGTGATATGACCAAAGCTGTCTTGGCACAGTACACTCTGGCTAACGCTCAGTTCAAACCTCCAGTCATAACAAGTCAGAAGAAGATTAGTGAGACTGCTAGCCAGTTGGGAAAAGGCAAGAGATATCTCTCTTGGGAGAGGAAAACTTGCAGTTAAGGACAGCTTTGCCAAGCAACTGGACCAGTTATTTGACATAATTACTTGCAAGTGCCCAATTGTTCTCTGTCCTGAGTTTGGATGCGATCGTGACTGTAAATCCGAGGCCCACATCTCCTGTATTTGCAAGCGTGAACTGAAGATTCCTGTGATCGAACTGGCATTTGTCAAAGCACAGAGAGAGAAGACTGGCAGTATAGGGGCTCTCATGATTTCTAGCCAAGATATTCCGGAGTCCAAGAGACAGGAGGCTGCCACAGAGAGACAGAAGAGGAGAAGAGTTGCAGGAAAAGAGACTTGAGAAGGCCCAGGGTGAGGTAAAAAAGGCCGATGATTAAGTCAAGCTGATTCAGAGTTTAATGACTTCCCCATGGCTGATCCGAGTGCTGACCAGGAGAATGGTGACTTTGTCCCTCACCCAGAAAATAATGATCCCAAACCTTCCAGGCATAAGATTCGAAATAGGAAAGATATCCCGAGCATAGCTCTGGCCAGCATGCGACACCACACTGGTCTCAGAGAAACTGCAGAGATAGCAACAGCTGCCTGGACTGACGGTGGTTTGATAACACCTGATGATGTTCACCTGGTGATAGATCATAACAAAGTAAGGAGAGCTCAGGAGAAACTTGTCAGTAACCTAGAAGAGGAGTTTGATAAGGGGATAAGAGAAAATGGAATCAATTGTTTGTTCTTAGATGGGAGAAGGGATGACACTAAAGTGTTCATGAAAGTTGGAGATTCTGACAAGTTGTTCCCTGCCATGGTGAAGGAGGAACACTACTCCTGCTGCAGTGAACCAGGAGGGAAGTATTTGTGGCATTTCACTCCAGAGAAAGATGACATCAGGAAACCAGCTGAGATAGTGGCAGATAACACTGTGAACTGGCTCAGAGAGAGGAACGTAAACCAGACCCTGCAGGCCATTGGAGGGGACAGCACCAACACGAACACAGGGTGGCAAGGGGGGGTCATACAGTGGATAGAGCGGAAGATTGGGAGGAAGCTGGTCTGGATTGTTTGTGACCTCCACACCAACGAGTTGCCACTCAGACATCTGATCCAGGAGCTGGATGGCAAGACTCTTTCAAACAACAGATGGTCTGGTCCTCTTGGCAAGATGCTGGACTCTGCCACTGAGTTAGAAATAAATCTGAGCTTTGAAAAAATCACAGTTGGCCCTCCACTCATTGAGCTTGCACATACTGTCATTGACGACCTGAGTACTGACCAGTACTATGGTTACATGATTTGCAGTGCCATCAAAACTGGGGTCATGCCTGACAGACTTGCATACCAGCAGATAGGTCCAGTCTCACATTCTAGGTGGCTCACAACAGCTCTATGGTTCTGCAGAATTTGGGTCGCTCATCATAAACTGAAAGGGAACCAGCTTCACAACCTGAGACTTATTGTCTAATTCATCGTGAGTGTCTACTTGCCAGATTGGTTCAACACCAAGGTCAAGTCATCGTTCTCCGAAGGTCCGAGGCATGTTCTCTTCTAGCTTGAGCTCCTGAGGAGTCAGCCAAGGAAGGTTGTTCAGATTGTGGAGCAGACTGTGAGGAGATCTTCCTGGTATGCTCATCCAGAGGCAGTTCTGCAGACAATGCTCTGCAGTAAGGATGAGGAGGAGAGAAGAGTGGCAGTCAAAAAGATCTTGGATATGAGACTTATGAGAGGATCTGGGCATGACGAATCAGTTGGTGACGATTCCTTCAGGGTCAGGAAGACTCCTGAAGTCAATCTAGGTGCCAAGACCCTCACTGATCTCATAGATCTGGATAACATCCAGGCTGGCAGTGAGCCCCTCTTACCTGCAGCCTCACCAATGTTCAAGTCAGAGCTTTCCTGGACAACCCCATGCATGTCCCTGCCTGGCCCTCGCACACCCAGAGTATAGAGTGCTGTGTACAGCAAGTGAGCGAGGCCAGCAGTCACGTGTACAGCCAGGAGAGGAGGGAAGGCTACATCCGAGCTCAGGTGGTCAGCAGGGAGGTGATGAGTAGAAACAGAAGCAAGAAAGACATGTTCTCTATGGTGTGCAGCAACACCGGGTCGTAGTAGTAAAACCGGTTTTTGTATTTGATTATTTTGTTTTCTAAAGGAATATTAAATTTAATAAATGTGTCAAGATCATTCGTTTCACTATTCTGGATCATTTTCATCCTAATAAATTAACCTGATACATTTACTTTACTTTAAATAAGCTATTTAGTGGTGTTGGTAAAAGGGTGGGAATACTGAATTTTCATAAGATTTCAAGTTAAAATTTACCTAGCAAAAAATGAAAACTTTTCAAATCTGAAGATATCACATGATTCTGCACATAGAACTACATCATTAATACCATGGGCCGATTTTTCAAACTAAAAAAAAAAAAAAATTCGCCTCCGTATGACACACCCTACCGGGGTATACCAAAATTTATCGTCCATAGTCTCATATCGTTTCCCACAAAGTATGCACAGATAGTTGCTTTAGCTAGTGTACAGTACACTACTGTACTGTATCTGCATATGGCGACTGTGTTAAACTTTCATTTGGCTTTTATTTACTGGTTTAGCAATACAGTATTTTTTGTTGTAACTTATTTATTGGTACTATTTTTAATTATTCCTCACATTTACTGGTACTGTAAATATTGTTTTAAGCAAACTATGGCTACAGGAGGAAAATACACAAAAGTTTTCCCTAAATACTCGCTGCTAAAATGGGGGGGAGGGGGTGGGATGTCTTATATGGCCGTACGTCTAATATGCCGTAAAATATGGTACATTCTTAAAAAAAAGGAAATAATTTGCAATTACAGTACCTTTAATAGTTTCAATACAACATTTGCCCAAAAGATGACAAATCACTTCAAAGATTTGCCATATTTATGTTCAAACAGTAGCTTCAGATATGAGCAAAAAACAACCATCTGACTAAATGGAATGGACTTATACACTCACAAGCACTTGCCAGATCTTTTCGGACTCTTCTTCCATCATACAAAAATTTGCAATTCTTTGGTAATTCTAAAATGAAATTAGTATGACTTTTTAAACAAAGATACACTGCATCTTTTTCAGCAAAACAAATACCGTACTGTAATGCTAAATTAGAGCCTGTGGTCGCCAACCCTCAGATTCACAGATGGTACTCTGATAGACTGAACATTTACGAACCCTAACTTGCAGTCATGAGGGATAAACAACCCATGACCTAACAAAGAATCTCTAAAGCAGAAAACTTATTTTGTACCTCATGAATAACTCATGTTATGAATAACTCATAACAGGTGCAGGAATTAAAAAAAAATTTATAATCTTCCCATTAGCCAGAATAATTGGTGCAGAGCAGTTCCGGGTTTGAAAGATTTTCAAGAACTTAACTACGCACATCACTTGGAGCGGGGGGCGACCTGATAGAGGTGTGTGGGTGGAGGGCGGGGCTAAATAGGGGGGACATTGCAAAGGTACTCAAATTATCCAACCAGGAGCGAACTCGTAACAATGGTTTTAAATTAGACAAATTTAGATTTAGGCGTGAAATAGGTAAACACTGGTTTGGAAACAGAGTAGTGGATGAATGGAACAAGTTACCAAATATCATCATTAACTCGAATACGCTGAATAGCTTCAAACATAGGTTGGACGCTTATATGAGCAATAGGGGTTGGGTGTAAACGGGACTGCCCAGTATGGGCCAATAGGCCCGCTGCAGTTTCCTCCATTCTTATGTTCCTTATATACCACTATACACATAAAATATACAGTACTGTTTAGTAAGTAAACAAAATATACTACTGTACAATATACAATTGACTATACTGTACTCCTCAGCAGATGCGTCATCGTGAGGTTGTGATGCAGGCTGGCCAAATGGTAATATGATACAGGATGGCCTGTCATTGTCCTGTACCATCTACTGTAGCAGTTGTTGTTAACTGTCACTCTTCTCTCCCTCTATGAAAGAGGGATTGTACGCTCACTGCATACTGTACATACACCCCCAACACACTACCCTACAGTAGGTATACACTGTCCATTCTGCTATATACAGTCACAATCCAAAGTTTCTTTACCCCCGTCTGGAAGGAAAGTGAAGCCAAGGTTGAAGAGAGGCCAGACAAACAGACATACAGTATGCTTTGTGCTGTCGTTATACATATATTAATATTCATACAATCATTATAGCCCATTAACATACCATATCATGTCAATGTTTCGAATCATATTCCATACCTGTGCTTGAGCGTTTTGCCTGAGTGACTTTGTACTGGTGGTGGTGTGTGAGCCCCACCGTCATATTACCTCATCACCAAACTACTTAATGAGTGTATGTCCGTTCACCTGGCCTTTCTTCAACCTTGGGTTTGCCTTCCCTCCAGCTAGGGGGGTAAATAAACTTTAGATTGTGACTGTACAGTACTGTACATATGGTACAGTCACCCACAAGTATTTGGATATGCCTATGGTTCTTGTGTGGGTCAAATTATCTGTTAACACTTTCCATAAAGAACTGTCTGAATTCCAAAATAACCCATTATTTATGTGTCATTCTTAAATATATGTTATGAATACAGTATATTTGTTGTGTATATAATTGAATAGTGTCAGGTATTGAAAACACAACAAACCTGTTTTATGGATAAATATACAAGTAGTTGCCACCTGGTCCTGCAGTTGTTTTACGACACCCTCCCTCCCTTCCCTCCTTCACCTCCCAACCCATTTAATGTTATGACTGACTGAATAGATCTGGGTGGTACTGGATGGAAAATAAAAACAATAGGCAGACTCTGTGTTTCTTAACATCTCAAATGATTTGAATCCCTAAACAAACATCAGTGACAGCTATACGGTACTGTTCTACCATAAGCACATGTACTCATATCCAGTACAGTACAGTACAGGGTACAATACTTTTATTGATACACAGTTAAACTCTATCACACCCCATAATACTACAGGACTTCTACCACCATGTCCACTATAATGTCGACCAAATGCCAAGACAGTTACTCAAATTGATACAACACTCCATGTCAATGAAACTTTAATTACTGACTGATTATATTACTTCTTTTTTTTTCAAACTCTATAAACACTTTATCTTGGTTAAAAAATATCCATAAGCTATAATAATAGCCAACACTACCACCCATTTTGGTATGAGAAAGCTTTCACCTTGTTGGTCAATATTAATATTTTATAAAATACTCAGCACTATTATAATGATATATATGATTGTTGTTTATTATCTAACACAGACCCAGTTTGGCAGGTTCTAGAACTTTGACACTGTCATGCCTTCTAGGGGTAAGAGTGAGGTGTAGATGTATGGTAATACGTACTACCTAATAACCACCCCGCCACGGTGGGGATCAAACTCTTGCCGATTCTATGAGCAGGCTTAACTCAGTCAGTGCGTAGCTGTCAGATACGCTAGACCACATCCGGTCATGTGTGTGTGTGTGTGTACAATGAAAGACAAAAGTAGTGTCATGAAATTTGGTGAAAATGTGTGCTGAAGGGCCAAACTTTTGGTGTGCTCTGCCTTGTGGTAGGGGGCTCTCATAATGTTTCATTAGTTATATTTAATCTTCGGACAAAACTGCAACACGACTTTTGTCTTTGATTATACATGTATATACAGTACAGTACAGTAGTTTATAATCTTTAATAATGCTTCAAGTTATAATTACATTTATGGTCCTGAAGCATAATGAAGATCCTATTAAGCACATACGCAGAACACAGTTCTACAAATAAATTGTACTGAGTATGTACCATAGTGTTTGTAAGGGGTTATTCTGTCTCGGTAAGAGGGGCAGGGGTGAGGGAGCAATTTTTGGCTGGAAAACAGAAAGGATTGGGTGGATAAGAAGACTGTGAAATAGGGTGGGGTGAAAGGCTGTGAAGAGGCAGAAAAACTATGGACTGGTGAAATACAGGCGGCATATTAAGGCACTATCACACTTTATGACATCATACCGACGTCTTTCAATCATGCCCAGTCAATCTTCAACCACCAAAACAACATAGGCAGCAGACCTCTGTTGAGTGTAACCCTTTCCTCTCAGACTGATGTGTCACAGTACTGGGAAATTTATATATCTTGCTATTAGGACAGCCTCCATCTTTCATGGCCAGCAAACACATTTTAAAATAGGTGGTGTGTTCTCAAGCCATACAGAGCCTGAAGTAAGCAGTCAAATGAAAACATACTACAGTATTTATTTATTTTTATATTATGCTTTGTTGGTACAGTACTATAACTTGGCTAGGCATATACAGTAATTTAATCTGCAAAACATTATGCTATACAGCATATAATTTTAGCAAACTATAAAGTAATTTACCTCACATGACACCGTTACTTCCATGTGTGTCCAATGTATCACATAATTTCGGGAGACTGTGGATCTTCGGTTTTTAGATGTTTATGTGAATAGATGGTACACGGCAATAGTGTTCGGTCTCTCCTCGACTTACGACAACCCGGACATACGACGGCCATGGTCGTATAAAATATTTTTCACATTATGTATTTTCGAGTCACGACATTAATGATCGCGCTGTATACTGAAAAATTTTTCGTTTGTAATTCCCTTTAATATGGCTGGCACGCATAAAAGAGACACCCATTTTAGAATTTCTATGTATTATTTTCACCTTTTCGACTTACGACCTGGTCGTCGGGATGGAACCTCGTCGTAAGTCGAGGAGAGACTGTATTTGTAGAAGCTCAACGGTAAGTCTGGTCAGTGTGATAGTGACTTCAATATAGAACCAGGTAGGCTTAGTGTTACTAGGAGAAAGTGATAACTTGGTAGAGACAGACAGAAGGACAGATAGAGGTTTGAAAATAGAAAGGAAGTTTTGGAAAAAAAGATGGTAAATTAGGAAGGGATTGACTGATTTGTTGTAGTTAATAGCCTTCAATCTATAGCATAAAAGCTAAATTGCTAAGAAACCTAATTTTCCTCTTTGATGTAGTGAGACAAAATATTGCTTTGTAAAAAAATAAACACAGAAAGTTTAGTGATTATAATGAAACTACAGTAATACAATATACTATGAAGGTTGACAAATACTGTACAGGATTAATAACGAGACATACACATAAAAATACAGTAATGGACAATGTCAGAGGACTGTGTAGACACAGTCGGGGCGTTGTTTTTTAATTTGCTGGCCGTCAACTACGGCCTAAACAGACAGTGAGATGACAGTAACACAATACCGAGCCACGAGTTAAGACGGAAGGAGGTGGACGGGGGGGGGGAATGTGGAGGCATGGAGGGGTAGAGTTGAGCTTTATTGTATGACTGGACATGCAGTTGAGCACTGTTCCAAGACTAATTAGGGCAGAGTAACCTTTTAGGTGTACTGTATACAAATACATGTGAGTGATTGCACTTTCACTTATTGAATGTATACAGTACAGTATGTATACATAACTGCATCACTTTTTACATCTAAAAATGGTATTCTTGGCAGATTATATGCTGGTGCAGTAATATACAGTACAGTACTGCACAACACAGATCATATGCAAAAACAGTAATGAAAACATGAACAAGCCTTTACAGTAGAATGACAACAAACAATTACCAGTAACTCAGTGTCTCACGATGCAAGAGTTTGATGAGATAGACCAATCGTAGCTCACAAGCAATCTGAACCTACCCACCCACGCATACAACAAGCATCAATGCGTCAGAAACATGATGCAATCTATCATAAATTTGTTCGAATACTCAGAACAGTTTTTCTTAGAATTTTCTGGAAATGCACAGAATGCAATCCTCAGAAACTCATTCGGATACCTGGAATGGAGAGATTTTCCCAGGAATTTCTAAAAAAAAAAATCCAGCTTTTGGAGAGTTAAAGGGATTGAAGATTCAAGCAAACAGAGATTTCTGTATTACATTTTCCTTAGTTTTACTGTAAATAAATAAAGTATGCTATGTTTGTGCTTCAACTATTTACATGAGCAGTAATGTTTCATGCATATTAATGCCTCCATTTCATACTCTTTAAGAAACAGCACCATATCCCTGCATTATTATCGTCACACAGCTGTCATCTTATCTCTATTATGACCTTCAATGTCTTGTTATAGTGCAGAAGAAACATGAGCACAGTACCTGGAGAAAACCTACAATAAGGTACAGTATTTGGTAAGGCCACACTGAATAACACCCTTCTCACATCTGACCCAGGGACTGGACCCAGGACACAATGATTAGAGGCAAGTTCACCACTGCTATACCACCACAAAACTGCAGTAATTATCACTGGTATTGATGGATGAACTTTTGGTGATGGTGAAGCAGACAGCACCAGAAGATTTTTAGGATTTAGCACCAAAATTTCTGGAGATACTTACTACCTGTATTTACATGGTACTAACACGAAAATGGAAACAAAAATGCACAGAACCTGACCTAATTAACCTAACCTTACCTAACTTCCTAACAGTGGGGCTCTGCCCCCTGGGCAAATTAAGCAGAAAGAACTTACTTTGATATCAGCTACCAATGTAAGCATTTTTTTTGAGCAGCAAAGTGTAATTTAACTTTTGCTCATTTTTTATGTAAAAGTATGATCGGTTCAGTTTTTGCATTGAAAAACATATTTCTTCTTGACTGTCAGCTCTACACTGCTTTTTGAACACTTTTATGTCCTACCAATTAGTTCATGTTAACAGATGAACTCTTGGAGATGGTCTTCATCCTCCACAAGCACAGATAACTTGTGATACAATAAATAACCCACACAGGATGCTACAACTATGTGGAGTAGTTAAACACAAGATGGCTTTCTTGTCTCTCCCCTTGTGGAAGAACAACTATAGGAACATACATTTCACTTAGAAGAAATTGGAAATGTATCCAAACCCATAATATGGGATTCAAATCCAACTACGTACATAGGTACTCTATATGAATCTTATCCTTTATACATATAATAAGTTTAAAACCTACGGTATTGCCTGAAAACAAAAAAATATAAAGTGATTTGCACACAATAACAAAAGAACCAGGAACGTGAAGCTTATAACATTAAAAACAAATGACAATCAAGCTAATATTCATGGTAATAAAACCTTTGTGACGTTCGATCATTACTTCTAAATGTTTACAAAGACCGGACTGAAAAATTATTAGTTTAAGAGCGGGCAGAAATGGACAGGACAGAACAGCACGAGAACTATCGGCGGAATAGCTATATATGGTAAATAATAAATTTCTTCACCTACAAAACACGTAGATAGATGAAATGGGAGCCATATGATCAGCTTTTTACCGTTTTTTACCACATAATTTCCCTCATCTTTCATGCCCAGCATGTTACAGGTGATTCATAATCATAGAGGGAAATGAAAAACATTAAAAATATTTAAAATTAAATGAAAAGGTTGCTATATTTATTAATTGCTAATAGCACAAAATAAGGTAAAGGTGGAGGACACTGTTAACACCAGAAGGACTTCATGGATTTACACCACATTTTCAGGAGATATTGTTTGGATGATAGTAAAAAAAATCGAGGCAACATCATTGCATTTTTTTTTAGAGTATTCTGTTATCGTAAATTACTTGTTAGTGGGCAGGGCAAGAAAGAAGAAGGAAACAACGGAATAAAAACACCACGAACACTGATCATATGGCAGTAATTTCACATCTGTGTCCTTTGTAGATGAAGAAATAAAATATTTACCATAATTATAATTATGGTGCAGTCATATCTCCAATGGTGACCATGTTTTGGTTCACAGTGTGATATGCAGGAGCGCCGGCTGCCTTTGTTTACACGTCAAGAAATGAACAACAATCTCATCGCATGTGTTTGTTATGATTTATATTGGATTTTTTTTTTTTTTTTTTGGGGTATTATTATTATTTCGGTCATCCAGTGGGGTTAGGTTAGGTTGAAATTATGTTTTTCCAATAGTTTTTTATGTGTTTTGACCGATTCTGACCTTCATTTCAAATATTTGGATGACCAAAATGATAATTTCACACATTGTTTTTCCATTGATGCTGTTTGACTGCTACAGTAATGAGAAAATCGAAATGACAATGCACAGGTAAGGAAGTTAGGTGAGGGGAGTTAATATTAATTTTTATCCAAATAGACATTTCGGATATCACTAGGATTCTATTTTAGTTAGGAATCAGCAATAGTAGGTTAGGTTATGTTAGGTAGGTTAGGTTAGGTTAGGTAGGTTAGGCTAACGTAAGAAGATAAAAACATAAGAATGGAGGAAACTGCAGCGGGCCTATTGCCCATAATGGGCAGTCCCGTTTACACCCAACCGCTATTGCTCATATATCCATCCGACCTATGTTTGAAGCTATCCAGCAAATTTGAGTTAATGATGATGTTTGGGAACTTGTTCCACTCATCCACTACTCTATTTCCAAACCTATGTTTACGAGTTCATTCCTGGTTGGTTAGTTTGAGTACCTTTGTAATGCCCCCTTTGTTTAGCCCTGACTTCCACTTATACACCTCACTCATATCACCCCTCATTCTACGTCTCTCGGGGAGTGCAAATTAAGATGCTTTAACCTGTCTCTGTACTCAAGGTTCTCCTCTGAATTCTTTCTAGGGATTCTATATCCATTCTGTAATACGGTGACCAGAACTGAACTGTGTAATCCAAGTAAGGTCTCACAAGCGCAAGATGTAGTTTTAGAAGGGTCCGACTAATTACCCAAATGTAGCCGCAATGAAGTCAAATAATGGTCCTACATGAATAAATCGGACTGCCAATCACTTCTCGACTAGTATTTGGTGTCACGGAGTCACAAAAAATTGGTAAACTTAATTTAATCTGAGTTAATAGATTGAGTGCATGTACCTAACCTAACCTAACTTCGACTAGTATTTCTTGTCACGAAGTCACAAAAAATTGGTAAACTTAATTTAATCTGAGTTAATAGATCGAGTGCATGTACCTAACCTAACACAACTCAGATTAAATTAAGTTTACCAATTTTTTGTGACTTTATGACACCAAATAATAATCGAGAAGTGATTCACAGCCTGATTTATGCTTGTAGGACCATCATTTGACTTCACTGCGACTACATTTGGGTACATTCGGGTAATTACTCGCTCCCTCGGTACAAACACGCGATCTATTAACTCAGTTTAAATTAAGTTTTCCAATTTTTTGTGACTTTGTGACACCAAATACTAGTCGAGAAGTGGTTGGCAGTCCGATTTATTCATGTAGGACCATTATTTGACTTCATTGCGGCTACATTTGGGTAATAAGTCGGACCCAGAAAAATATTTTCTTCGCTAGCAAAAATATTTATTTTTCCTGGGAAAAAAGGTTAAAACTTAACTAGGTCTATGCACTAACCTAACAGGTCACGTCCTAACCTAACCTATGTAAAAAGGTGATGGGTGGTTAACAAAAAATTACCAATATGACAATATCTTTGAACTAGTGTCGTCAGAATTAGCTAAATACTGTATACCCATAATGAAACTATTGGACTCAACCCCTGCAAAATAATTACTGGCGATAACTTACAGGATTTCAGTTATGTTATTACATATATATATATATATATATATATATATATATATATATATATATATATATATATATATATATATATATATATGTGTGTGTGTGTGTGTGTGTGTGTGTTAATAAGTAGTAGATTAAGCTACTACAGGTGACTAAAATCCAACAAGTCTACTGACAGCTCTAGATCTTACCTCCAACAACTACCAGCTTATACTCCGTCATGATTACTTTTTCCTACGATATGTGTACACACAGGTCCAATCTACTTCCTGCTATTCTAATGATCGGCCGATGGGTACTACACTAGCCGCATAATAAATGTTTATATGATAATCACACACCAGCACTATCTTCCCCACCCTCTTTCATTCGACTTGTTCCAATACTACGTCAGTGCAAATATCGTAACCCTTTCTCATTACTTGTCCAATCTTTAACCTTTGAATAACTATCTGTAAACTCATTATATTTAATACATTACGTTTTTACTCAAGGAATAAGCACGAAATACTTGTATGTAAAGACATTATATAGGTGTTAGTTTGTAATCATTATAGATGACCTTAAGGTATTGTAAGGGGACTGTCCGAGACGGTGCATTAAGTCTGTTCTGTTACTGTAGGTTTTGATCTTTCCTGGACAGAGTTTTACAATCCTGCCGAGTGTTGTAATATACCTGTGTATAAAATAATAATTACATACTGTTTCTGCCAATATGTAAACAAGTATGGCAGAAAGATGAGATGTGATGTCGAGAGTGGCTTGGGGCGGGTTAAGGAACAAGGACACGGTAGCCCAGGATGTCTGGACAAAATGTTCATTATCCTTTACCAATCATTCAACTTTGCATGCATATCGACAAAAATCACACTAAGCAGGTATAGATACACCAAAAATACAAAACAAGTTTTCCGTCATTACAGATATGGATAGATCATAAAGGATGTGAAATGCAGCTTAGCAACATACGGCAAGAAGTATGAGTCATGACAATGGCATACGGGCACAGGGCAGATCACGGTACCTCACCATGATGCTTTCCACTACAATAGTGTACAGTATATAACATAACTTGTCTTTCTTCGCGTACATTTAAATGTTATACGAACTATGTTTCCTCTAAACTGTGTTAATAATACTTCTGTAATTTCAATACTGAGTAAATTAATTTTTAAAAAAATGATAAGCTCAGAACAGTCCGTTATATCAGGGTCGGATCCAGGAATATCAAAAGGGGTGGGGGGGGGCAAGAAGTTGTGGGAGCGGGACCATGACGTGCACAGGAAGCCCACCCACTGGAGTTTTTTTTTTTTTTAGTTTAACAAATTTATTGACAAAGCTTGGAGTACAGTTTGCCCATTCTGTCAGGTCTTGACACTGAGGGTGGTATTGTAGCGTACTGTATGTGGCCAGTTGTCAAATTCTCTTTGCTTGTTTATTATCTCTTTGTATGGGCTTGTAGGGGTATCGAGATATTAATGTTGTCTAGCACTCAGGATGGAAGGAAACTCTAATGTGGTTTTCTTGTATAATATATAAGTTATATGATAGACAGTCTGGTGCTGGAGATGCTGTGTGGTGAGGGGCTGCTTGGTAGAGACGTGCGGTGAGTAGCTTGTTGAAGGAGGTAGATGTGCAGGAGCTTCGTTAGAGAAGATGTTGCCTGTTGCTGGCCTCCTGGTTGAATGAAATGTTAACAGCGTGGAGCTTGCTGGAGGAGGTGTTGCTTGTTCAGGAAGATGGGCAGAATGAGAGTTGGTTGGTGAGGAAGCTCAGGGAAGGACAGCTGGTGGGTCGCCATGCTCGCCGGCGGGAGCGAGGACCGCCAGGCAGGCGAGGAGATGCGAGGGGCAGCCAGGCAGCGGCGGAGGAGGAGGTGTTGCTTGTTCAAGAAGAATGGTCAGAATGAGAGTTGGTTGGTGAGGAAGCTCAGGGAAGGACATGCTCGCTGGCGGGAGCGAGGACCGCCAGGCAGGCGGAGGAGAGGCGAGGGTCGCCAGGCAGCGGCAGAGGAGGAGGTGTTGCTTGTTCAAGAAGATTGATCAGACTGAATCTCAAGGGAGAGACAGAGCTTATATACCCCGCAGCAGCCGCTATGAGTCATGGTGGGAAAACCCGAGAAGTAGCCGGTGACTAGTTTCGTTGCTAAGATACGGTAACATCTGGTTGGTTGCTAGGGAAGGCGGCACATTGGAATGTGATAGCAGGTGGTGGGCTGCTAAGCAGTTAGTTTGTAGGGGAGTCGTCCACTACAGGCTCATATACGTACGTACATGTAAGATATTTCACACTCAGGATGGAGGTACAATAGAAACTCACAATGCGTTTTCTGTATATATATTGTATGTACAGTGCAGTGCTAGGGAGTTGCTGAGTGGTGAGAAGCTTGCTCAGAGGTCCTGTTGGGTGAGGAGCTTTCTGAGGGAGCTGGTTGGTGAGGCGCTGTTGGGAGGTCTTGCTGGTTCAGGAGAGTACAGTAGCTTGTGTTGTTGTTGAGATTGTCGGACCGTAGTCCGACACAGGCCATTGCCTGTAGGCGGGCCGTTTGGTGGTTCCGGCTGGAGCTCTTGGAGCAGCCAGACCGGATTTGGGATTGGAGGTTGTCCTACCTACTGATATAAAAGGATACTGCAGGTTGCAAGTGTGAGCGGACCTTCGGTCAGTGAACGCTTACCATCAACCCCCACTCTTGGACGTGGTCAGTTTTGGAGTGGTGCACCTGTGGGGTTATGAGATATTGGTTCACACTCAGGATGGGATGGAGAAAGGAAACTCACAATGTGCTCTCTGTATACATATTGTATTGGATGTACAATGCAGCTTGGTGCTGGGGGTGGCAGCGTGGGTCCAAACGTGGTGTAGGAGAGAACTGGTTGTTGAGGGTGCTCAGAGGAAGACCAGCTTGTGGGTCGCCAGCAGGAGCGAGGGCCACCAGGCAGGAGCGGAGGAGGTGTTGCTTGCTGGTGGCTGTAGGTAGAAAGCGAGTGGTCACGGCGGGGTGAGGTCTTATATAGCGGGGGTAGGCGTTGGTTGATAGTTGACCTCCGCTATGTTAGGCGGCGCTGATTACCGACCTTTACCACGAGGCGTACAATGGGGAATTCGAAGAGGGTCGGCTACTCAGCGACAAACAGCGCTTGTAGGGGAGGAATCCACTACAATACTCCCCCTTCCCTCCAGGCAGTGTAGGAGACGTGTTGTCTGCAGGGTTGCATCCCACATGTGAGACATAACGGGCGGTGCAGACTTGTTGTCGGCAGGGTTGCATCCCACATGTGAGGCATAACGGGCTGTGCAGGAGACTTGTTGTCGGCAGGGTTGTATGCCACATGTGAGACATAATGGCGAGGGCATGGATGAGCCGGCCGCTATGGGAGACACTTTGTCTAGATACACGAGATCTGTGGGAGAAGAGAGGGAGAAGGAGGGATGTGGAGGCGAGGAATGTGGTGCTTCTCTTGCGGCAGGTACAGAGTCCTCAGTAGCGCCTGCTGGGGTGTGTGGGTCTGCGTCAGGAGCAGGGGCCGCATCAGGAGCAGGGGCTGTGTCAGGAAGAGGATCCATGACAGCAGCAGGGTGCATGACAGCAGCAGGGTGCAAGATGGCAGCAGGGTCCACGACAGCAGCAGGGTGCAGGATAGTAGCAGGGGGTACCTGAGGGAGAAAAGAGGGGTGTGTGGGTCCGCATCAGGAGCAGGGGCCACGTCAGCAGCAGGGTGCAAGACAGCAGCAGGGGGTACTACTGGGCCGGGGGCGGCGTCTGAGGCAGGACGGGTGTGTTGGGGTCGGTAGGACGTGGTGCTTGGGGCAGGAAGAGGAGCTGCTGTCTGCTTAGAGTAGCAGAGCTGCTCTAGGGTGTCTAACCTGTGGTGGAGACAGTAGTTGTAGAGCCGATGAGAGCTGCATCTGTGTGGATAAGCCAGTCTTCCATGTTGATTGAAGATTGGGGGAGTGATCAGTTTCTCCTCCATCCTGTGTGAGTGCGAATTTCCGGGGGCACCATTTGTGGGGTTATGAGATATTGGTTCACACTCAGGATGGGATGGAGAAAGGAAACTCACAATGTGCTCTCTGTATACATATTGTATTGGATGTACAATGCAGCTTGGTGCTGGTGGGTGGCAGTGTGGGTCCAAGCGTGGTGTAGGACAGAGCTGGTTGGTGAGGGTGCTCAGGGGAAAACCAGCTTGTGGGTCGCCATGGTCGCCGGCGGGAGTGAGGGCCACCAGGCAGGAGTGGAGGAGGTGTTGCTTGCTGGTGGCTGTAGGTAGAAAGAGAGTGGTCACGGCGGGGTGAGGTCTTATATAGCGGGGGTAGGCGTGGGTTGATAGTTGACCTCCGCTATGTTAGGCGGCGCTGGTTACCGACCTTGACCACGAGGCATACACTGGGGAATTCGAAGAGGGTCGGCTACTCAGCGACAAACAGCGTTTGTAGGGGAGGAATCCACTACACGCCCCCCGAACC